ATATAAGTCACATAACATAAGGTCTCAAATACCTAATATTTTATATATCTTAGTAATATATATAAGTTTATATATCTCAGTAAGATTCTATATATTAAAGTATTTTGTTTTACAACATTTATAGATATACTAGACAACTGAAAGTCAACCTTCTCTCATCTTTGTTCTCTCTTCAGATAGGAGAATTTCAAATGGCAAAGCATTTAAATACTGGACTCAATACCAGCAATTGCATCCTTACATTGGTTGTGAAGATCAAGAAGCTTCCCCTCCTACTTGTACCCCCATTAATTTTTACAGACATTTTAAAATGACTTAAAACAACTTTGTGGGCCAAATAATAATAAAAGCTTATCTGAAACTAGCGGTCAAAGACTTGTAAAATGTATATGTACACATTTTGAATGTGTTCCCTAATGACTAGCATTTTTCTTTTATGGTCTCAGTGACCTAAATAGACTTTACCAGTAAGATATTATGAAAACTAGTCAGAACAGATACGACTACATTTCATTTGATTGATCTTGTGGTATTATGGGATCTAGTATGTATATGACATGTTGTAAATATGATCCCAAAGGCATGTTTTTGGTACAGGGTCGAGAAGTCAATGCTTCAGTGCTACATACTTTCAACATCTCTGTCTGGTTTGAAAAATGGCACTAGGTGTGTGTTCAGGTGATAACAAAAGCACCCGTGTTTAGAGACGCCACGCAAAATTAAACCTTTACTCCCACAGAAACAGCTGGAGCTCTAATTTTGGACTCGAGAACATAAAATACCTCTTGAACCAAATCTTCTGAACTTTTGTTTGATTTAAAGATTAAAAATAAAAAAAGTTTAGTATGTTAATTAAGGAAGGCTATATGAGACAATTATATTTTTTTTGCATTTTTTTGGTTGCATATTATGTTGCACATGTGGCGGCAGGAAGGCAGAAGGATCAGAACACTTTTAAGGCGGAGAAAACTAGTGAGCGGTTTGTTAAACAGGTGTGATCCAGCAGAGCTGGAATCTGAGATATGCAGGAAAACAGAGGGTTTCTGGTGATAACGATCAAATAACAGAAGGAAGAAGAAAAAGAAGAAGTGTCCAGCCTATGTACACTCATCTTCATGATAAATAATGAAAAATGATCCCATCATAACTACACCCTACACTCTTAAAAGAAATGGTTCTATTTAGAACCAGAAATGGTTCTATCACCCGCTTCATATATGGAACCCCAAAATGGTTCTATATAGAACCATTTTAATGGGTTCATTAAAAAGAACCCCAAATGGTTATTTGAATCCAAGTTAGATGGTTCTTTTTAGAACTATTTAAGGGTTCTTTATTATTAAAAGTTATTTATTATTTAATAAGAAAATATAACCAATCCAGAAAATTCAAAGTTTAAATTTATTCAATTATACATTTATTCAATTTATTATACAAAAATAGTGTCATATTTAAAATTGCACCTCTGTATATTCTGTATTAGACTGCAAAACTTTAAATTATTTTACATTTAAAATGTTTAATTACATTCAACCATTTAGTTTTCATTATTTCACGTCAGCATTTTCACTTTTTAATAAACATACATAAGCTTGTTTAAGTACTCTATGTACATATACAGTACTTAACTTATACATGTATCTCTGAAATGAGGAAAAACAAATCAATGCAGATAAAAACAATACATGAACAATTAAAACATCTACTAAATGGCACTACAATTTACAATATATATATATATATATATATATATATATATATATAAGCTTGATTCGCACGTGTTAAACCATACTTTAAATTCTTTTGTACCATTTGGTGTGTGACTGTGTGTTTAATGTTTTGAAAGTATATTTACGTGGTTTCTTTTCCGAGGAGCAGTTCATATTCCAGCTCAGTAGATGGCAGAAAACGTTACGGTTAATTAATGCGTGAGTGCTCATGAAGAAGAACAAACCGGCTGTTTACAGTCGTGACAGTAGAAACAATGAAACATTTGAGCAGCTAAACGGGTTTATTTTGTCATATTGCAGAATACAAATGACGGCGGATAAGGAAGCAGACTGATTTTTAATAATATGTTTAAGAATCGTGTGTGCTGAAGAAAATGATCAGTCAGATTTTCATCTTGTCATCAAAGGGAGATCATCTCATATATAAAGACTGTATCCTTACAGCTGGCTTACAAATCTATTAGTGAGATGTTATTGGTTTATATATGTCTGGTTGGTACAAAGATAACATAATAATGAAGCCCTGCCTTTAGTGCGTTTTGGAGTCATATGTCATAAATCTGTATACTTTTTGCTTATTAGTTTTTCTTAATTCTGCTTGTCAGTCCGAGGAGAGGAGAGTAAAGACTCCATCAATGTCTTCTATGAGATGGTAACAGCTCTTAGTGGTGATCAACCTCCGGTTGTCATGGTAAATTCAGGATTTTTGTGTGATCTGATGTCTGGCTTAGTTGTTTCATTATTTTCCAGTGCATTATTTTGCCTATGTTTACATTTGTTGATCTTGTTGCAGTCACACAAAGGTCTTCATTTCATCCATGCAAGGCAGGGTGGGCTTTACTGGGTGGCGTCCACCAAAACAAACCCATCCCCTTTCACCATAATTGAGTTCCTCAACAGGTTAACAAATCTTAATTTTTATCAGTAATATCATATTTTATTTTAATAATACTACAGCTATTTATTATCTGTGTAGA